GCAAATGAGAAATGTCCATATCTCAAGAAGATCTTAATTATATACACGCACATTATCACACAAACTGCTGGCAAGAGTGAAAAAGGTATTTTGTGTAACCGCAATTAACTATTATTTTATGCATCTGAGGTGATTAAATGCAATTTGGTTGTGGCAATTAATGTAATTATTACTCTTGTTGACAGCAGATTTCATAAATGCTCGCAACATGTGGTTCGCAATTGTTGCGCCTGCGCATTTGCTGCGCAATTAACTGCACTTGAGCCATAAATGGTTTTCACATATTATTACCATATTTTGTGGTCTAAGTATGGGTTACGGTGGTTATTTATGGGAGGACAAATAATAATGTTAGGCGGTATTAAGATAAAATGCAAGTGCATGCTTAAAATGGTTGCATATGACAAATCACACAGATTGAGATTAATTTCAATATGTTTTCAGGTTGTCAGAAGTGTCACAACTGTTGCACATTTCAAATGCAATTAATCCGCATTAGTTTTGCGTGTGGTAATTGGATTTAATGTAACTGATTTAAACGATTCACTGAACCAATGAACCAATGCTTTACGAAGCCATTGGAATAATAGCAATAAAATCACATAAAAAATTTAAAACTATTATGAAATATATGTAAGAATATACCATTGCTTGGTATGTGATAAAAACTTTAAAAATTGTATAAAAATTTTCCGTTGACTGACTTTAAGTCAGCAGATTATGTTCTTTTACATAAGAAATTTCAAAATAAAGTTTGAAGTAATTGTTTATACTCTTTTTTCAATAAGAAACTAATTATGTATTTTTACTGATAATTCTAGCGCCATGAAGGCGCTGATAGTACGCTTTCTTCAGGTCACGAAATCGCATTCAATAATGAAATATTTCTCCAGGTTTTATAAAACTTAATTTCTAAATAAGTGGAGCACTTATTGTATAAATATTGCATTTAGTGGGCTGGTATATTAACACTGACAAACAGACATTCCAAACAAATATCCACATGACGCCAGTTCACTTCATTTCGTAGGTACATCGTTTTATGAAGAAATTACATTGCAGAGACCGCACCGCCAGAGAAGTGGCACAACAGTGGTTCTCAATGGGATCGCGCACAATCTAAATTTAGTTTTTCGGTATTCTTAAACGGTCAGTTAGGCTACATAGCGATTGATAATGAGTTTTTAAATATAATCGAAATGGAGTGGAATCTTACAAAATTGAATTTTCTGTTTTTATACAAATTATCATTATATTATCAATATAAACACAGTATTGGGAACCGCTGGTTATGTTCTCCAATAAACAAAGCAAGAGCTTTTGGTTTAATGAGACATATTTTACTTTTTATCTGAGCACAGAAATAATTGGGTCAAGTAATTTGTTTATCTTTGTAATGCGGCCTAAGATCATGAAACTGTGATTATGTTAATAGCAAACAGTACAATTTATATTGCAATCAATTGGATTGTTTACCATAAAAATTGAAGTTTAGTATTTTCTTTGTTCACAAATTGAAAATCAAAAATAAAAATCAACAAATTATTTGAACAATTTTTTGTAATAATTGAGACTATTAAGAAATAATTGATTGAAAAAGTTTATTATAAATTTAAATATCAAGAAGTTGAGTCACCTTGCGGTTATAGAAGTTCAATAGTTCTATAGAAGACTAACATATCAACATTGATTTAATAATCTCTATGTAAGATCAGCAACAACTTGATTAACTCAAGGTTTAGTTGGAGATATTCAATAATATATATCCACTAATAACCACTTGTTTAAGCCAATAAAGGATTAAGTTACCTCAAATGCATGCACATAACATTATAATCAAAAAAAAAAATGAAATTATTTACAACTTTTCAAATCCTCATTTATTCTTCTAAATCCATTTTATTACCTTCAAAGAGTTCCTATCTACAATATACTTATGTCAACGTTCTTCTCAATTCTGGAAATTATTATTAAATTTGATTTTACAAACAGCCGTGTGATTCGACTTTAATTTCCAAAATTATCACAAAATTGGATCATTTGCGCGGTTTTTTGAGCTAAGGATATAGCCGAAAATCATAGGCTACTAAATTGAGAGAATCAATTGTCGAACGACATACCTCAAAAAATATTCGGATTTTGTTGTTTATTAACTACTAATTAAGTGATAGACCTTTTTTTTTGTTACGTTCGTACACTCTTTCTTGACATATGGTATAAACTTGAGCGCCATCTGTCAATTAGTTTGTTTACAGCAGCTGTTAATGTGAGACTACCTCAAGTGCATTTAGCGATTTTTACCATGGAAAATTTCTGTTGTACGCGATTTTTTGACGCACCACGGCACCACTGTTATCGCTCGGGCACCATATTCGCCAGATCTGGATCCGTGCGACTTTTTCCTGTTCCCGAAACTCAAATTGTCCCTTCGTGGTAAGCGTTTTGAGTCGATTGAATCGGTAAAAGTGAATTCGCCCAAGGAACTAAAAGCCATACCGTAGGCCCGTCTACGAAAAGTGTATGGAAGATTGGATTAAGCGTTGGCATATGTGTATCGCTTTAGAAGGAGCATATTTTGAAGAAGATAAAATAAATTTGGATTAAAATTTTAATTTGTGTGTTTTATTTACAAAATCCAGTGTGATGTGATACATTAGTGTGAATTATTATGCCCATAATGTTGGCTTTGGAGAAATTTTATTTCTGAACAATATTTAATTTTTTCCATTTTATCAAAAATCATTATTTATAGTAAAAAACTCGATTTCAAATAATGCATATATATAAACTGTTATAATGAAAGACCGAACTATGTACATACCAAGCTTATCTGAGCACAATGACACCTTAAACTGTATAGGAGGCTTGCGGACATAAGAAATTTCAATCTTAACAGATATTATTCTTAGATAGTGTGTTAAAAATCAACATAGCTTTAGAATATAAGTAGAATATCCAATAACTATTGTAGGAGTTGTAAGAAGCAATGAAATGTACACAATAAATAACGGCATTAGGTTGATGTTAGCTGAAAGAATTTACATATTATGGCAACAAAAATGTTAGAATTTTTGACATGATCTAGACACTACTAGGACCTCAACGAGTCAATTAAACTTACTATATCTACCGCCACAATTACGACTTCCGTAATGCCGCGATTTTAATACGAAGGGAGACTAACTGGATATATATAAAAAATATTTTTTTATTTAATTTTAAAAATGTAAATAAAATTATTAAAAATAAATTTATTTATTTTAATGCATGAAAAAAAAATTCTATTATGGAATTTCAATTACGAAATAAGGAAGTTGTTTACATTTTATCGAAAACCAGATGAATCAGTTTTTAATACAAACATATATGTTCTCAAGTAAATATCTTTATTAAAACGTTTGAATTAAATTAAGATATACATTATGACTCAGTCTCAATCTCCGCATTTGCAAGTAATTATGTCCTGTTATATCTTAAAAAATACATTTTTTCTTCTCTATAAAAGAACCAGCTACGGTTATTCTAGTGACTCATTCTCTGCGTTATTCTATAGATTCTATATGTTGCTGGTAGTGTCCTGGTTTTAAAAAATTTCAATGCCAAATTTTGCAGTAATTTTAAAAAATTATTATTAATTGATAACCGCAATGCATAAGAATATTCTCCTTGAATGCAAATTTAAATACCTTCCATTAACATATTTCAGATACTTTTCGAAATAAACAAAATGATTTCTGTTCTCACGTTTTATTTCAAGTATGTATGATTATGTGTTGAGAGAGCGAAATATTTCGATAAATGATTATGTGTATACGGAATTTTAATCTTATTGACTTGAAGTCAAAAAACGAACAAAAAATAATTTAAAAATAATTGTTACTACTGAATTTTGTATCTTACGAATATATAGAAGTTGTACATAGGTACATATGTACGTGACAGAAACATGTTCGACGACCACTGAATAACTTATTCCAACTTACAGACGAGTTTGTTTATAGTGACGTTTAACCTCTAAAGATTTTGAAAGACATAAATAAAGAACTTTTAGTTCTTTCATTGATTTGAGTGTGATTTTAACTTCAGATTATAGGTCACCCTTATAATTTATATTTATGTCAAAAATAAAATTAATGAAAAAAAAAAATTCATGTTTAATTAAAATAAAAATATGTATATTAAACTTTTATATATCTTTTTTATACTGATAAGTGAATTCTCACAATGAAACAGGTCTTAGGTAAAACCAGCAATCTAAAACTTTTTATAGTGTTATATACTATATGTACAACACAGACATAATAAGCACACATCAACAGTTCTTATAGAAGTGAATAACAATCTCTCATTGGGAATTTCCCAATGCATAACCTTTAGAAGTGACCACTTCTTCCAGATAACGCTGTCTATACGTTGATAACAAACAACTCAATGATTATTTTGACAAGAACATGTTCAACATTAAATACAATATATTTATATGTACACATAAGCATACATATATAATGTCTATATACTCGTGTTTGTTTTTTAAATAAAATTATAATTTGCATTATTACTGTTTACTGTTTCAAAAAAAAAAAAAAAAACAGATTGTTTTGGTAGTGCGCGTATCTCATGAGCTCGAGCTTCAAACAAATATCAAAACAATGAACAATGACGACTCTAGCTCGTTTTGAAGTGCTTCATGGGATATTCAAATATTTTTTCTTAGTAAACAAAAGTATTATTTTTGCTTGCTTTATATATTACGGAAAACATAGAATTAAATTTTGTTTACTGAAAAGCTTTTTCTTTTCCTAAATAATTCTAAGTTTCTGAGTTCAAGAGGTGATTCCGAGAATAATTGTGACTTTTTGCGCTCTCCGGAACAAATTCATATAAAAGCATTTGGCGCGAATTTTCACAAATTTTGCAATTTATCGAATTAGTAAATATATTTTTGCAGTTTCTTATTGTTTTTGTTGAGTATTGACTATGGAGTATTGAGCTCAACTTGACGCTATTTATGGAAGTATCAAAATCATTGAATGGGTTTTCTGCCACAAAAACAAAAATTGTACTCATTTTGTGCCCATGCATGTATTCCAAATCGTGCTCAATTCGAAGCCCGATCGAAGATATATTTAAAACAATTTAACAGCTTTTTCAGTGTATTGCTTTGAGTCGTTGAGTGAATAGCCAGTTTCGCGCACAAATAATAAAAATTCGTTTAAATCATTGAATTGTATCTACGTTCCTGAGCAGCTTAAAATGTGGAAATACTGTAAGGCTACTACTATAATACTGTATGGTATACTCTGAAATAATAATTAGCAATTAAATTGTTGCCTTTCTGAATATATTAATAATTATGAGAAAATAAAACAATTTTTAACAGTGTTTATTGATATTAAACTAACTTTTGTTCTGTGTTTTAACTCAAGTTGCAGTATATTACGAACAGTAAAAGTCAGCATTAATAATTATTTTATTTTAATGTATAGACATGAAGTTTAATATTGTTTTAATGTATATAATTGAAAGTTGATAATTATAAAAAAAGTCTAAATTAAAATGTGGTGAAGTGAAGAGTGTTTGAGTTAAAAGTAAAGTCCCTTGCACGTGAACATATTAATAATTTAGTATTTAAATTAATAAAAAAATAAAATTAGCATAACAAGAAATAAATTTTTTTTTATTTATAAACAAAATTTATAAACTTATAAATATCTAAAAAAATAAAGTATTTATTATTTTAACAGAAATTAAGTCGAAAAACAAATAATTTGAAGTTAAAGTTTTTTTATTTAAAATACAGTGTTTACAATTCTGCGATTCCAAAAGTAAATATTAATAAAAATCACTTGCGACTAAAATTTCGACGAAATTTCTAGAACAATATATTGTTCTAGATCTTACCATTAAGTGTAAAACACAACTATTTGAATACTCTTCACTGGACATCAACAGCACCAAATCATTTTTAGATAATTTTCAATAATTTGACGGTATATAGCTGGCAATAGCTCGATTATAACTAACTGATGTTCATTTTCAAATCGTGAAGAATATAAGGTTCCAAAAAATAATATCAAGTAATATCAAGTGGTAAAAAATCGTATAATTATAGTAATCAATTTGCATCTTCAAAACGTAAAATTAAACGTTTATAAAATTGATGAACTATAAAGGCAAAATTGAAACCCCTGTTTGGCTTGAAGTATCCACGTTTTGAAACCTACTTATTAAAACCTACTTATCAAAACTTATTTATTGGTACCTACTTAATGAAACCTACTTATTGACACCTACTTATTAAACTTATTGAAACCTACTTATTGGCAACTACTTAACGAAACCTATTTATTAAAACTCTACAACTGTTCTTAATTTCACTCCAAAAAAAAAATGGTAATCATTTGACTTAAACATTGAGAACTGCAGATTCGTCATTTTCAAAAAATTCTGACTTAACATTGTTCAAGATCCAATATCACACCAAACAGTGACTTTTGATGAATGCAGTAGTCGTTTAAAGTTGTAACAATGTTATTTGTTGACATATCCACCAACGGTAGATGAGTCCCGTCACTGAAAAAAGTTCGGCGTGAAACCCTGTTACCCTACTTGTAGAGAATTTAAACAATTTTATTTAATTTATAAAGTGGGTAACTTAGAATGAAACATATATCTTCGATTTCAGTTTTGTTCCATATGTTACTAAATCAGTGCTACTAGATTGGAACCCCGACATAAATAACCCCTTATGACTTTATTATTATTAAAAAGAAGGGATAGTGCACTGCGACCTAAAAGATCTATTGTGCAATTGTTTTTAACAATTTTTATATAATATTATATTATATAAATATTATGTATAATATGGACTATATATTACTATATATATAATTTACATTTAATTATTTTATAATTTAGGTATAAAATAAATAATCCTTTGTATTAAAAAATCTATTTCTACTTCAACAATTTATTCAAATTAATTACTATTTACACAAGTTATTTCCAATTGGAGTTTAACTACATTAAAACCGTTTTTCGGATTCTGTCAGATCCTCTAAGTGAATGCATCAAGCCTTCGTTATTGAGTACACATGTTACTGATGAACTGTCAAAAACTCATGTTTAAATATGAATAAGAATAAACAGCCTAAAAAGTTTTACTTAAAATGTATCAAATACATATACACACATATCAGAGACTTTCAATATCGTAAGTTTAGGGCTTTGAAACAATCTATTATCTATATGACTGCTAATAGAGTTCTCGAGGGAGCCAGGCTCCAGAGTATGTGAGCATTAATATTTATTATAAACGAGTACTGATCCTTTAAACAAAACTTTAACATAAAATATTATTTTAATAAATAACATATAAATGAAAGAAATCGGAATTATTTGATTTGTGTCTTTTAAAATCTTTTAAAAATATACGAATGTATTGACCACATTTAGAACAAAACAAAATTTTTGAAAGGCGATCCATTAATTATTCTTAACGTTTAATACATTTAATAAAAAAATTTATCATATTTCATCTTTCAAACATTTTTAGTAATATTTATCACGTATTTATGGACTGCTGCAACACAGACTTACTGTTATCCTTATGTCAGTTTTAGTACAACGTTCGAAAATCCATTCTTGCCAAAAGTAAATGTAATGGAAGACCCCATACCAACTTTTAGATTACGTACACCGAATAGTAATCCATTGTTACTAAGATTTCCAGATGCAGAAGATATACAACAATATTCCAGACAATATTACTTAAATTTGCAAAAACTATTTAAAGCACGTCCAGCTGGTCTAGTTTTAACGATCTATAGAGATATTACAATCACAAATCCAAATTATATACCACCAACAACATCAACTGTAAATTCAGTTATACAAGATTCAAAAGATAACTTCAACGGTTATTCTTATAATTTGCCAACAGCTAATAATGATCCTACAGTACTCTCTACCACAGAACAACCAACGGATCTTCCAAAAGCTGTAGGAAGCAGAACTTTAGCAACAACTTTGAACTCTGAAAGCAACAACTTTGATAGTCTCCAAAAATTTAATACCAAATTATTTCAACAAATTGGACCTGAGAATACACAAAATAATGTTGTTTACTCACCAATATCGATACAAACATTGCTGTCCTACTTGTATATTGGGGCTAAAGGTAACACAGAGAGTGAATTACAGGAAGCTTTGGAGTTGCCAGCGAAAAAAGAAGATGTTGTGCAGTTGTTTATGAAATTAACTAGCGCTAAACCGCAAGGCGATGTTGAGGTTGTGATGGCCAACAAAGTATTTTACGATGAAGATCTAACCTCAAATGCGAAATCCAACGAATTGGGACTTGGAGCTTTTAACGCTGAAATTGAATCTATTAATTTCAAGGACTCAACAGCTGCTGCAGATATTATAAATAAATGGGTGGACAGTAACACTGATGGGCGTATAAGCAAAATAATTGATCCTTCAACATTGGATGCAAATACGCGTACAGTTCTAGTAAATGCGATACATTTCAAAGGAAAGTGGGAGAAAGAATTCTCTACCAGTGACACACAAAACGACACTTTTTATAATAATGGCGTTGAACCCACAGATGTTCAAATGATGTACTCAGAAGAAACTTTCCGTTATGGTGACTTGAAGGACTTAAATGCTGAAATATTGGAACTACCATACCTAAAATCAGATTGGTCTATGCTTATCATCTTACCGAAAGAAAGAAATGGCTTAGCAGAACTAGAAAAAAAATTAAATAATGTTGATTTAAACAGCTTAACAACAGATATCAAACCAGAGTCAATACAACTATTTTTACCTAAATTTAGTTATGAATTTGAATTAGATATGACGGAGTCATTGAAAAAGGTAAATTTGGAAGTTAGAAAAATGTTCAAATTTAACATAACTTGTAATTATATAAATTTCAGTTAGGAATAAGGGATCTTTTTACTGACAATGCAGATCTGGGAGACTTCTTTATAAATGGTTCACAAAAAGTTTCGAAAGTACAGCATAAAGCCTTTATTGATGTTAATGAAGCGGGTTCGGAAGCTGCAGCGGCTTCATGTAAGTACAATCATTTGTAACACATATTGAGTCCTTATTATACATAATTAGTGTTACAAATATGAGTTACTAAACAAAATATATGTATATATATAAACAAATTCAAATGCCTGTGCCATATAATTTCTAAACTTACAAAATATCATATTAACATTTTTTGAGGGTAGTTTCATATAATATTAATTATTTAAATATTAAATTTATAATATTATTACAACAAAAATACATACTTCAAAATATGAATTGTTATAAATTATTCATGTAATCATGTACATCATGTTAAAAATATATAAATATGTATTATTGATATTAATTTATGATTATTGCATTTTTCATGTCATTACACAATATTATTACATTATCAGTTATTAGTGATATTAGTTAATATATATTACTTTTAAAGATATTATGCTTTATAACGCTAATATCTGATATCGCTTACAATCAATGGTATATGCCTGGCACTCACTATCAGGCATTTTTTAATTTATTATTACTTTACTTAAATTATTACTTTATATTTTATGATTAGTACTTTACCATTAATTATTATTATTACTGCTTTTATTTTTTTTAATTTGTTATATATTTTTTTTAAAGAAAACATTTCTGTTTTTATTTTTAGTTGCCAAGCTCATTCCTTTATCACTGCCAGGAGACACTGTCCGCTTCAAAGTGGATCATCCATTTATTTTTGCTATACGTAGTCCACAAGCAGTATACTTCGTGGGTCATGTAACTAATTTTTAAGACTTAAATTAAGTGATTATCATATAAAATTATATATATAGATATAATATATATGTAATTATAATACAATTAAATTTAGTTTGTAAGATATATAGACTTGTGTTAAAAATGAGATTCTGTTTTTTAATAAAATATTAATAATTTGCTATGCAAAATAATAACTAAAATCATATTGTGTTTTTTACTTTTATAATAAATAATTTTAATTTGCACTAAATTTATTTCAGTTTAGATTGATGACCAAAAAACATTTATTTTAATACAACTGGTAAGTTCTAAGAAGTTCACTTTTATCAACGCAAATAAAAATTCTGATTCTGAGTAGTATTTGAATAATAATATGTAAAAATAAAAAGTAATAAAAAATAGTAAAAAAGTAATAAAAAAAATAAAACAAAAAATATGTTTAATAAATATTAATTAAATCAAGTACCGGTTAAAATTTAAACTAAATTGTCATTATGGAAATTTAGTGGAATTCTAAGAATTTTTTTTCTGGCCATATACGTAGAGATTTTGTGAGACAGACAGACGTTGCAGATGCTATTTAATTTTGCAAATAACAAAAAAAAAGTGATACTAGTTTTTAAAAATATTGTATATATAATTTTAAATAATCGAGGTATATCGTCTGCTTCAGAAGAACAAAAACTGGAGCACCTTGCCTTCCACAAATACTAGAAACGCTCGCTAGCGGTTGACTTAATTTAATTTATTTAATTTTTTATTTTTGAAATGAAATTGTATTATATAGAACATACTTTAAAATTTTTTTTTAATATAAAACTTAATCATCACAATACATATTTTCAGTTAATTATAAAAAAGATTTTAGTCAGAGATTAATTAAAGGTTATAAAAGCAATAATAAAACTGGCTCGTGTTTGTTTTCAAATACTTCACCTACCTTATCTTTGTTTCAAAAAAAAAAAAAATAGTTCTATTAATAAATAAATTGGAAAAAAACTTAAATTTAAATTTAAATAAATTTATCTAAATTTCTAATTCGTTGTAATAATACTTGTATATTTCGTTTCCCATCATATATTCTGGGTTTCTTGCAAACGATTTCAAGTAATGCATTTAATCATTAACCTTAGCAGTTAATCATTCCATTTATAAATCTGAAATTATAATCCATAATCTGTGTTTTATATATACTAGAATTGTGTAAATGCTAGTATATAAAAAAATATAGGAAAAACCTGCTCTTCATAAGAAAACCCAAAGATTTTTGTTTTTCTACGGCAAGAATCACTTTGTTCCGCTCTAAGATCACTGGAATAAGCAAGATTCACTCAGATGGAATGAAATAAGCTGCGTAATATGCTCAGTTCTTGCTCTCAAACTGCACATACTCGTTTGCAGTATGGAATTATCTTTAATGAGAATTCAAACTTGTTTTAAGTTCTGTTCTTCGGGTTTTAATTGAAACTGAATGTAATTTCAGTTCGAACGTTAGTACTGCTTAAGCGTCTGAGCTTAAACCAACAATAACGCTAGTTCCACTGCTGGAAAGTTTCAAAAATATTATTCATTTATATATATATAAGGAGTTCAAAAATAAATGATGCACAAATTTTGTAAGATTTATTTGAAAAGCATATTAATAAGTGTTATCCTATATAAATATATTAAAAATACAGTTCCTACACCGTTTTAAAGACGTTTTTAATATTAATAATTTAACGACTAAGAAGAGAGAATCGTATATATAGACATATACTAATAGTGCGAGTGTGGGAAAATCCAATGCATCCATGCAATGGAGCGTGAGTCACTAAAGTATTTTCGTGCAAGTTTTTTATAAGACCGGAGAAATTTGAATAACAAAATCAATTTATTATCATTTCTGTAATTATTAATTACGGGTTTCAAATTATTTTTATAATAAATATTAATGTCAGTTTTTTGTATAAAGAATTGTTTAAATTACAATTCATACTATATTTTTTTTTCAGTGTATAAAAAGAAATTATAAAAATATTAACATTCGAGATATATAAATAGATAAACAGCAATATTGTATAATTTTATATTAAAATGTTAGTTATATTGTTTAACTAAATTTCGTATAATCTTCACACAGGCCTAGCAATCATCCTAGTTGCGTCTGTTATTACAGCTTCAAGTGCGCAGGCCAGAACATCAGCAAATGATGGCGGCCTACAGCGGCGGCATCAAGAAGAATGGCAACAACTGTTGCAATCACAACAAGCTTATCTAGACAATTTAAGGAATACACACTATCAGCAGCAGCAACAAGCACTAACACAACTGCAGCTACAACAAGTACGCGATCAACAACTTGTTCAATTACAAAGCGAACGAGATCAACAACTACGTACTCAAGAGCAACTGCGTCAACGTCAAGAACAAGAAAAGCAGCAACTACAACAGCAACAGCAAGAACAACAACAACAGCAAACACAAAGGCTTACACCACAACAGCAGCAACAAAAACAGCAACAACAGGCACAAAGGCTTACACCACAACAGCAGCAACAACAGCAACAACAACAGCAACAACAACAGCAAGCACAAAGGCTTACACCACAACAACAACAAAAGCTACGTGAACAGCAACAACAACAGCAACGTGAACAGCAACAACAACAGCTATTGCGAGAGCAGGAAGAGCGAGAGCGAGAGCGACAGCAACAGGAATATGATGATTATCAACGTAGGCAACAACAAGCTGGTAGACAGCCAATTCAGCAACCACAACCGAATCCAAATATTCCACAAAACTATCCAGTTACAACAAAAAAACCAGCACGTCCCGCCGCTCCGACGCCATTCGATAAATTCAGCACACAACTGTTTCAAGTACTTGGACCATACAATCCTCAACTAAATCTAGTATATTCTCCACTAGCACTGCACACTTTGCTAGCCTTTGTATATATGGGTGCTTCTGGTGCAACCGAAGCAGAACTAAAGAAAGCTCTATCACTACAACAAGTAAACAAGAACAGCGTACCACAATTATTTACCAGTGTATTGAATTCACAGAAGCAGGGTGCTGCAGATCTTGTTATGGCCAATAAAATGTACTACTCTAGTAATTTAGTGTTTCAGGACGATGTCAATAAACCTCGTTACTTTAATGCTGAATCTGAGCCGGCCAATTTTGACAATCCCAGTCAGGTTGTGCACAGCGTCAACAATTGGGTTGGTAAAAAAACAAACAATAAGATAAAAAATTTGATTACATCAAGTGCTGTAGATCCCACTACACAAGCGCTTTTAGTGAATGCTATTTACTTCAGAGGCAGTTGGGAACATGAGTTCGGTGTCGGTGATACAACAGATGCAGTATTTCATGCATACGGTCAAAAGCGTACTAATGTCAAAATGATGTTTATCGACGAAACGTTTCCATACGCAGATCTTAGTGAACTTGGTGCTGATATAATCGAATTACCATACAAAGATTCCGAGATATCAATGTTAATAATATTGCCAAAAAATAAAAATGGTTTGGCTGATCTTGAAAGCCGATTGAGCAATATTGATTTGAAAACTTTAACAAATAGATTGAGCCCATCGAATGTGCAATTACGGTTACCGAGATTCCAAGTTGAGTTCGAAATAGATATGCTTGAACCACTTAAGTTGGTAAGTTTTTATTTTCATATTCTAATTCATATTAACTCTTTCTCTGCGTCTTTCTCTCTCTCTCTCTCTCTCTCTCTCTCTAATATAACTTCATTAATATTTTACTACTTAAATATGTTTACTTAAATCAACTTAAAATTATTTTTTTAGCTGCAAATAAGAAGACTGTTTTCAAGTCAAGCAAATCTAGATCATTTCTTTGGTCCCGGTTCTCAAATTGGTGTGTCAAAAGTTCTACATAAGGCAGTGCTTAAAGTTAATGAAGCTGGCTCTGAAGCTGCAGCTGCATCTTGTAAGTTTAAATAATAAACACAAATTTCTTGTTGAACTGATATATAATATAACCTTTTCTTTTTTATAGATGCTAAGTTGGTTCCATTGTCTTTGCCAGTTAGAACTATAGAGTTTACTGTAGATCATCCTTTCATATTTGCAATTCGTGGTCCAGATGCTGTGTACTTTGCAGGTCACGTGGTTAATATATAATGAAATGTTCCTAGAATTCGTAGGCTATTCCAAATTATTCGAAATTATAATTTCTGACTATTATTATTTCGTTATATATTTTGTAAATATGCGTTTAAAATTATTATTTAAATATGTAATACTCACAAATTGATAACAATTATTTTGATAACACATTTTATTAAACGACAAAAATATATACAAAAAAAAATTATTAAAATTTTTTTACAAAAATATATACAAAATCTTTTCATTTAAAGTTATTTTAAAAATATATATAAAAACTTTGTCATCAAAATTGCTAAAGGTTGTTCCAACGATTTTTTCGCGAATGGATTATATACATTATATAGCTTGATTTTTTTGGTTGAAGTAATATATCTCTTATCTAAAACACATTAGTTTAGTTTTCAATTAAATTATATTAAGAAATCAAATTAATCTTCATATATAGCGCAATATGTTTCTGATATCTGATATTAGTTCTATATATATAATAAATAGAATTCAGAATCTTAGAGATATATATTTGAATACAATCGATCGAATTTTTTCTATTACCCATATTATACATGAAGATAGATAGGAATAAGAAAATCTGAATGCAGAAATATATGCTTAGTGGATATGAAAAATGTCTCCTTCCAGCGATTTTTTAATTAAATTAATTTAAATCTCCAGCAAAATCTCCAGCTCAAATATTTTCCACAAACAATTGTATGTGAACTGGAAAAAACAACAATTTTGCATAGTTAAGTAAATTTATGGAGCTAGGGTTCGTGTTTTAGTTCTAAAAATATCTCAACAAGTGTAATTATTATTTACAAATTAACAACAAAATTCATAAGTTAATTAACATAAATTAAATGAACGTTATTTTTAGTGTTAATAGTTAAGTTCGATATTCCTCATTTGACAGGATTAGACTCCTCATATTTACAGTTTAAAAATTATGTATGAATAATCATCCCAATAGATATTTTCGAAGATCACTAATGAAAGAACCAAGAATTCACTTGATTTACTTGATCTTAAAATTTCTTCGATATCAGCTTTTTTTATTCGAAGTTAATTTATTGTCACAAAACATAAAGATTTTAATTTCTGTATTTAATAAAGGCATCTCTACAATGCCAAGTTGTTTCTGTTGTCTTTGGTTTATGTGAACCATAAACTTTACTATAGATCATCTATTCGTTCCCGTATTTATAATGCGCTTTATAGTCGTTGTTCTTCAGCTCAGTGTATATTAAATAAATTTTTTAATTCGATAACAATAATATAAGTTCTTTGTATGTAAGGACTATTAATTTTTTATTCCATAATTTTACAATCACTCCAATAAATGGCAGATAAGTAAAATAAATAAATAAAAATTCAAATTTTTAGAATAGAGATGTTTCCTTATTTAAAGATTATTGAGATGAATACACAAAAATTCAATTTCTGTAGAATTTAATATTAACATATTTTAGTTACTTTGGATCGTCATGCTATAGTTTGATTGAATTATAAAATTAGTTTTGTTTTATATACTTGGTTATATAGAGGGTTCTCCGTTCCCTTTACTTAACATAGTTAACTTACATTCTATGTTTTTTATTTCAAATTTATTTTCATTATAATAAAATAGATAAATAAATTCGATCAGATAAGTAAATTACATAAATTCATATCAATCGTTGAGTTTGATTGAAGATAAATTTTAGATGTGGCGTTCCATTGTTTTTGTTTTTTGAGTATGTTCGTACCCTCTAAAAATTTTATAAGGATTACTTACATATAAGATAAAATTTACTCAATTTTGAAAAAAAAACTAATTTAATTCAGAATAATTTATATATAACAATTACAACTTGTTTTAAATGTATTTAAGTATATAAAAAATATTTATATAATTGCTCACGGATTATCTTTTGATCTTCTAGAAATTTGAAGAAAATAAGTTACATCTTTATTACAGAAACATGCGTAAATACAAGTACGTCTTCATCAACGTGGTTGTATATTCTCATATCAACAATCTTTTTAACTAAAAGTATATCAAATTTTTAATGTTTTTTTAACTAAAAGATATGACTAACAAACTTGTTTGGTTTTTTTTTTCATAACTCAACTCATAAATAAAACCGAAAACATTTTCAAATTGCAAATCTTTTAGACGAAAATAAAAAGATTAGATTTTTGTTCTGGTGTGGAAGAGCATATCAAATTTCTGAGTACGATAGGTTAAAGGTTTGACAGTTTCGTACTCATTTTATTTATAGAAGAAAACAAAGCATACAATTTATTTTATGTTGCTCTCGGAAAGCATCTCAATTGATAATAATAAAGCAAACAATTATCAATTTGCATATGAATAATAATTAGCACAAACAACCATCTCAAATTGTATACACTGCAAAAAAAAACTTTAAATACAAAATTATAAGAAATGCAATAGTCATAATCATAAGGTAAAAATTAATACTTTTAATTATTAACATATTTAATGTATAAATTATCCATATTAATAAAAGTTTATATTGGTAAACATTTAGATGTATTTTTTATCGAGTTTTAGGTATCCGTTATCATTCATTTATAATAATTATATTCATCAAATACAAAGTGAATTATTTTTACAGCAATAATTAATTTATATAATAATTATTGACTGTGTGAACTTTGTTATATATAGGGTTATCCTGCGGTTTTTAGTGAAAAATCTTAAATACAACTACAAAACAAAGCATTATATGATCATATGGCATCATATGACAATATCACATTTGAAGCAGCGAGAAATGAAAAACTCACAAGTAACTACCAAAAGACCATTACATCCACAAAGGTGACAGTATTGTGTGACATTTAGGATGGAGGAGTAAAAACGACAAAGATGCGACTCGAACCGTTTGGAACGTTACAGCTATGGAATTAACAATATGCCTTAGCATAAAATCACAGATATGGATATGAAAGATATAGTAGTTAAAATTGTCCTCGAACATGTTCGGTACAGACCCATCCGAACATCTGAAAAATATTGTATCTCTCAATCACAAATGAATTTTATTTACATTTACTTTTAAAACTATAGACTGAATAATTAATTTAATATTGTATAAGTATAAAAATAATATATAATAATGATAAGTATTGAATTTAAAATATATTATAATGCAATAAAATTTTTTAAATAAAATTTAATGAATTGTTTTCGTATCAAATTACATCTTTTACTTTTAAATATAGTAGGATCGCCGATATTGAACTAACTGCATTTTTAAAATGGTCTACATATATTAGTCTCTGGAAATGTACTGGGTTAAAACGACTAATGCAACTTCCATAACTTTTATTCTTAATCCAGTATTCTATTTCAATTTTTTACGATTAAAGATTTTCTATATCCAACTTCTAACGCCTAAACCAACGTGATATGTATCTATGCCTATTAGTTGAACTTGACAGCCAGCAGACTAACTTCGTACCTAGCTCTCCTAACATCATTTCGTCTAAAGACGTTAAGGTGCTTATGCCTTATCACTGAAATGATCGCTCGGTGTTTTAGTTAATTTCTTACTGTGTGCAACTCAACTTTTTAACTGGACGATGGAGCGTTAAAGACTGATGAAGTAACGCCTCTTTGCTATTACCAAATAACAAAAGTAACTTAGTGGCAAAAATATATAAGACTCTAATAATATAATTTATTTATGATATAATATGATATATGATAATATACTAATTCATGATATTTCATACTAATTCATGATAAATCATATATCAATAATATATTCAACAAAATCTGTCTTTAGTCTGGATTAAAACCTCATCAAACCATCATTTTTGTGTGACTGTATTACATTTAATCAGTTAATATTTAAAATTGTATAATATTAAATTCCTTGTAAACTTTTTAAAATACCTACAACATTTTCCTTAGCTTAAAGATTCATGATTCATAAAGACCTTTTTCGGGATCTGCAGTAGCTTATGAGTACTGTTTGATCTCTACCCAAATAAGGTGATTTTGTTTATGTAGAAAACTGTTGAGGATATGGACTTACAACTGCGCTAACGTTAATATGCTGAAACCACGTCGCAAGATATGTTCTTAAGGCTTCAATTCTGCAAACTAATGTACCTCATGAGGATATAATCCAAGATTAATGGGCTGATAAACGTGTGGTAAATCCTATTTGTAAAATCTGTACCTTATTGCCATTAAAAGATAAGTATTTACAAACTAAATATTTAGACCAACTAAAATAATTTATAAATAAAAATTGTGGTGAAATTGTTTGCAGTGTATTGGATGCTATATAATACCATATTAGATCATTATTTTCTAAAAATTATAGTTTCATGTGTTAATACTAAGAAAATCACCCAAGTACTTTAGTTGCGTCTCGAAACTCGAATCTTAAGCAACCTAAATTTTATTTGCTGCGAATAACGAAATTGCTATATAATATATATAAATTTACACACAAACTTACTAGTACTTAACTCATAAATAAACAATGAGATATCAATTAGGTAAGTAGAAAAAATGTTAATAGGCGAAATATTTTTATTTCAAATCAATAAAAATTCGTTTAAATAAATATAAAATTTCAGCTGTTATTGTACTGATTTCAATCAGTGCTGTCGGCTTTGCTGCTACCATAACCAGCACTGCTGCCCAAATTATTGAACGAAATCTATTTGCTGCTGATATTTTCAATGCCATCGCCACAGAAAAGTTGAGCGATAATGTCGTCATATCACCCGCAGCCATACAGATCAGTATGGCATTGGCACACTATGGGGCCAAGGGCAAGACCGCTACTGAAATGCAATCTGGCTTACGTTTAGGTTCCTCTGATGCTGATGTGGTTGTACGACGTTTCGGTGAATTCCAGCAAACATTTGGACGAGAGAATAGTATACGTTTGGCCACAAACTTTTATATCAACGAGAATTTGGAATTCAAAGGTAGTTTCAGAGATATCGCACAACGTAACTTTGATGCCAATGTGGAAAAAGCTGACTTCCATCCACCCTACAATAAGCGTACAGCCGATCGCATAAACAAAGCAATGGA